GACGACGCTTACATGTGTGAAACTATCTTGGTTTCACAGGATACAGAAATCCCGTTTCTGTAGTAGTAGCGTTTATCGAATTTCGTGCAACGTGTTTAGAGTGACTCATTATCGAGTAGGGTTATGGCACTATCCACAGTCTGTTGTGCATTAGTGCCAGCATCTGGTGGTCATGGGTTATATCACGTAGTGTAAATGTGACGGGGTATTGTCAAGGCCTTTTATGAAAAGAGATAGGGTGGGTGCATTAATCACATGTTTCGGAAGGGCTTTCCAACGCTGTGACAATCGAAGGAAGAAATAGTTTCGCCGACATTCCAAGCGGCTGTACTGCATGACTAACTATAACTGGTGATATCTTAGCGGGGTATTTTGACTGAGTATTAGAAGGGAATGTCATGGGTGGTTGGAGTTTCTCAGGATCTGGTACGCCGTTGTGAGATAGCCCCTTAGACGCCGATAACCTCCATCGTATATTTTGAGAGGCTTCAGCCTTATTAGGTAGGGAAGGCTGGTCAAACCTCTGACGCCCTTCGTTGTCCTGCGTTGTGCAGTATCGAGCGCGGTGAGATTGTGCTTGAGCCAGGGTTGCCACGCTTGAATAGCGTATCCTGCGTGCGGCCTCAAGTACGCACTGAGAATTTTTGAAAAGAATGAAAGGTCGAACTTCCCGAAACCTCTGCGAAGTGGGCCGGGATACTAGTTTGTTTCTTAGATGTATTTTCAGTCTGCCTCAAACAACCGATGTCATTTTGAACAATAACGCCGAGATCGCGCTCTTGAGAAGCCCACTGTAGAATTTGTGCTCCTAGGCGGTATTTTTGCAAAATATTCTGCCGTATACTGAGGACTTCGCACTTGGTGACGTTGAAGTGCAGCAACTTCTCGATGGACCGAGTGCACGCATTTTCCAGTTCCTCTTGTAAAACTGTGTGATCCTTCACTGCATCTGTAATACGCCATACCTACAATTCATCAGCGAACAGCAAGCAGTAAAATGATAGCACGCTTACGAGATCATTTATGAAGACCAGGAACATACGGGGTGCAAGTACCGAGTATTGAGGTACGCCGCACTGAACTTCGATAGATTCAAACAGGTTGCTTCTAACCCGCACATTCAGGTGATTTTGCACGAGAAAGTCTCCTATCCAGCCCAGAACAGGATCACCGATTCCATACTCCTGGATTTTGTGAAGTAGAAGGCGATTATATATACAGTCGAGTGTCTTTAAGAATTCCAAGTAGGCCGCGTCGACACTTACATCAGCGTCCAAAGATTCCGTCCAGCTTGCACGAGCCATCAACAGATTAGTGGTACAGGAGCGATTTTGGCAAAGTCCATGCTGCTCCGGAACGGGATTATTTTGTTCACCAGGTACGCCATCAAAGCCTCAGCTACAGCGAACTCCATAACATTGGAGACAACAGGAAGTAGTATTATCGGGCCATAATTTGCTGGTTCAACACGACTGCCAATTTTGTAGATTGGCGTGATGACTCCATGCGTCCACATGCTGGGGACGTGCATCACGTTCAGACATCGTTGAAAGAAAATTACTAGTGGTCCCATCGAATAGGTTTCTGCTATTGCCTCAGTTACACTAACGGTGAATCACTCACACAAAGATCTCCCAATCCTTGTGCAGTAGTCAAATCCATCGTACCCACCTCCCATTGGCTGTCTGCTTCGCTCGGTTGGTCCACCTGCTCAAGCAGTTCTCATTTTGCCATCACAACGTGCATCCTTTTGTTTTGCGCCTCTATTTTACCATCCACCGCGTACAACTTGCTATTTTGCATCGGCTTCACTGGATCTACGTTCAAAGTCTATTTGCAACTCGCCATCTGTCATTTTACCCTAATACTTATTGTTGTCACCGGCATCGTCTCATCTGCACTCGATTTCTTCTAAATATTTTCTCTCAAACGTTTATATCCTATTACATTGCACCGACCAGCATAGTCAGCCCATCATTTTGCTACCGCTCTTGATTATCGGGTAAAGGTTGAACCCACACTTCCGCACTTACTGTTAGCTCAGGTGGTGCCGTGCACCGCGGTCACAGTATCGTTTCTGCATGATCATTCGTCGTACGAGTTTGTTCTGTAATCTTTCGTGTTGTGGCGAAACTGCGCGTAAAAGTGTGGTAGGTGCAGGTGCATCGAATTTATAGCCGCTTCACTGGGCTCGAAACGATATTCTTTGCGTGACATTTGCGATCCTTCTGTAGCATGAGGTAGCTTCCTCGCCATTTGCCCTAGGCTTTCACAAATGTTGCATGGCCTGCTTCAATGTCGACTACGCCTTTCCATTTCATTGACTGTGATGTTAACGAACTTACATTTAAGCATCATAGTTACTGCTTTTGTGGTAATTGTGATGTGTAAATGGCTTAGAAATTAACCATTATATGGTGCAACGTGAGTAAGTAATATTTCCTTTAAGTAATGTAGAAATACATCGCCAACCTCAAGGACATCATGCAGTATAATTGGTTCGTTCGTCTGCGGGATTATGTGTGTGAACGTCACCCCCCACAATTTGATATACGCTATTTATTTAACCCATCATTCTGGACCAGAAGAGCAATTGGATTTCG